ATAAATAAAAATCCTAAATAGGTTGTTAAAAAAAAAAAAAAGATTCAGTAATTAACAAAACCGAATGATATGAAAGATTATATCATGATATTTATTTTTGCTGTATTGCCCAGTCCTAGAACACACACTCTCTTAGAACAAAGAAAGGGTTGCTTTTCATTACACCGGGCATAGTGCTCCTGATTAAGCTCTGCTCTGTGTGCCTCTTGTTGTGTCAGAATAGACCTTTTACGCAGTTCCGCATTTTTCGAATGGAAATACGTCAATGTAGTGCAATAGAACTTCCTGTTATCATAGCGGCAGATATGAAAAATGGCAGAGTCGAAGAATCACAGTTTCTGTTGTGTTCCAGGCTGTTCGTCTTCTAACCAAAAACAGCCCTACCTTTTATTTCATTCTTTTCCTGTGGATCCAAACCTGAAACCCAAATGGATACAGGCGATACGAAGAGAGGAAGGGCATAGTTTGAATGTAAAACAGATAGCACCTATGTCTGCAGCCGACACTTCGCTCTGGATGATTACAGTGGTGGCTGCGTTGTTTGCCGCCTGAAGAGTGGTGTTGTCCCGAGCCTATTCCCTTGGAACAACCTTACAGCTCCTTTGAGAAGGGAGTCAGTATATTACAGAACGTCAGTCTAAACAGCTATGCTGTGGAGATAGCGACACGGTGGCTAAGGCAGCAAGGATGGATCACGACTATGTGACACACCACCTGCATTGAGGTAAAGTTGGTTTTATATTCACACATTCGTTCATTTACAAGTCTCTATATTATTTACCATGTTACTTTGAATATTCGATCGAAATTAGCATGCAAATATGACTTGAAAACAACATTAACGCTGGTTATTTGACTGTGAACAATGCTGTACTTTGATAGTCATTGGCTGCTGATATGATTTCGCTATTTAGAGTTTGCAAATAATACTTTAAAGAAATTATATTGTTAAAGGGAAAGTTTGAATGTGCAAATATAAAACTAACTTTACCTCTATCCCACCTGCAGTTAAGATTGTTCATAGTGTATTTAGTTAACGCTAGTCACCTGTGTGTACCGTTATGCATTTCTACCTGAACAAATTAATGTTAATAATATAAGCTGTTCACAAAACTCAACTAATAAAATAAAATATTTTTTTTGATAATGAAACAATTTATTGCTGTGACATGTAGTAAATACACAAAGTTTTATCATACTAGCATGTGTGGAAGTATTTAAAACAAGTGTGTTACAACTGGCCCTGTGTTAGGTTCTGCCCCGCTCTCCCCTATTTTAATTGCATGTATTTAATTACTTATTTTATTAACTTTGGAAGACAACTCAGGCTCGCCGGAAACACTCTAGCTACCTTTTCTCCGCCAAAAAACTCCTACCGGAACTGGGTTTACACGTTGCTGATGTACTTCCGTTTTTTGCGTAAAAGGTCTATAGATCTGCTTATCTACTGTTTTCATTCAGAAAACACATGCAGACACATGCACACGCATATATGGGGGATACATCTGTAAGAAACACTTTAAACAATTACAGAGACATTTATAATATATGCAGCTCCTTGATAAGACATTGAGTTGCAGCTGGAAGGGCATCAGCTGCGTAAAAACTAGTTGGATAAGTTGGCGGTTCATTCCGCTGTGGCGACCCCGGATTAATAAAAGGACTAATCTGACAAGAAAATTAATGAATAAATGAAACAAAATGTTGTCCTAATTTGTCTTTTTCTGTTTCAGAAATCTTCATGCCATAGTCTTGTCTACTTTGTCTTACTGTTTGCCTCTTTGGTCTCTCACAACAAATGATATCTTGGAGCCAATAGCTAGATCGTACAAAAGGGCCTATAAGATCCACAACAGACTTTCTGTAAGGACACGTCACTGTTTTGCTCTATCACTTTCTAATGCTGTAACACAGGAGTCACCAAACTTGTTCCTGGAGGGCCGGTGTCCTGGAGATATTAGCTCCAACCCTAATCAAACACACCTGAACAAGCTAATTAAGGTCTTACTTGGTATACTTGAAACATCCAGGCAGGTGTGTTGAGGCAAGTTGGAGCTAAACCGTGCAGGGACACTGAACGTCCAGCACCGAGATTGGTGACCCCTGCTGTAACATTTCAAAACTACATTATGAACACAGGTATTGAACTGTACTATCAAATTTAAATAGTTCTACATCAGCAGCCCTTTGTGCTTTGGTACCAAAACTCAACACAAGGACTGATCGTTCCACCAGATCTGTAACAAATGGATGTTTGCCATTACGGGCTTTTAAAAACCGTTATGGACAGAGATCTTTCTTTTATGTTTTCACAAAAGCCTGGAATGAGATCCCACAACATCTCGAAAATTGGTTTATATAGCAATCATCAGTAAAATGACAGGAACAGGCCACAGTTGGGGTTATATTGTGGTATTGTTGTAATGACAGATTGTAACCCTTTATTCCTCACAGCCTCATCTTCATATTATTTTCAATAAGGTCATTTTCAAAAGTTCTAAACAGTGGTGTATTCAATAAGCTGTACATGACGAGTGTTTAGTTTAAAATAGAGGTCTGCATTCCCGCGGCTTTCCCGCGGGCGCCGCAGGACCCAACCAGATTTCTGCTGCGCGGGAATAAATTTCCGAATAAATCGCGTAGCGGTCGGTAATGGGTTTAATTTGGGACGGGAGCGGGCTGTCTAGCAATATCGCGGATATTGCTATGCGAATGAGAGAGAGAGAGAGAGAGAGAGCAAGCTTTGCCTGTGTGTGTGCTTGGTGCTTGTGTGTGTGTATGTTAGTGCGCGCGCGAATGAGAGAGAGAGAGCTTTCCCAGATAGTAAAATACACTCGGGCCAGTTCCGGCCTGCCGGAGACTTACCACTCAGCCCGGCTCCGGCTGCCGGACTCCGGATGCTTGTGGACTCACTGCCCGATTCCGGCCCGAATCAATCAGGCCAGATGCGGCGGCCGTAAGCGAGCCGACGCTACCGCATCCGCGCCGGAATCGGCCCGAAAGTAATGTGCGCTGCGGCCCGGAGCTGGCGCGACTCAGTATTTATATACCTTTATATAAAACCTTTTGGTATTACATTGGTACTTGATACATGGTATTACAAGCCTTTGAGCAGGCACGTGCACACATAGGGCTCAACCTGTGCAGAGCACATGCCCTTTTTAGTCTTGGATAGAAAGTGCCCTTCCAAAATGATCAAAAGTGCCCCCGCGACGCGGCACACTCTCGGTCCCGCTCTTCAGTAGGCGCGTGACAACACCGGTCTGAGTACGCGCGCGACTACACAGCTTATCAGAACGCGCGCGACTACACAGCTTATCAGAACGCGCGCGACAACACCGCTCTTCAGTACGCGCGCACCCCCCCCCCACCCCCCACCCCCCCCCGCTCTTCAAAAAATTTATCCTGCACATGCCCTTCAGACGGTCTCTGCACGGTCCTGCCTTTGAGTTGATATAACAGCAAACGCCTGTGTGTGTGCTCGGTGCTTGTGTGTGTGTGTGTTTATACAGACAGCTTGGCTGTCTGGACTGTATAGCTGGGGGATTTTCGGTTTTGTTCTCCCCCGCTCTTTAGCGGGATCGGGTGTGGCGGCCAGAAAACGGGGCGGGTCGGGCAGCGGGACAATAAATTCTTAATATAAGCGGGAGCGGTCGGGTTCGGGCTAAAACCTGGCGGGTGCGGGCGGGCGGGTGCGGGCGGGAGCGGGATTTAAAATTTAGTCCCGCGCAGATCTCTAGTTTAAAACATTGTCTGATAATCAGGTTTATTAACACTGACTGACAGATGCCAGTGTGCAAATAACAGGAAATAAATGGACAAATGAACAAATATAGAGGACTGAAATATGAAGCAGCAGCTTTTAGAGTGGTAAACAAATGAAGTGATGAGCTGAATGAAGGATGAGAGCTGATATAGAATAATCGCATAGTTGAGGAGGATTTTTCCTGTGAATCCATTACATAAAGACTTCATTGTAAGGAATATAGACTCGACTCTCGACCACATTCAAATAACCTCACTTTTATAGAATTACTGAAGAATTTAACCACACAGAGGAGAAAATGTAAATACACCTGAATGAGGAAGAAAAATGCCTTTTGTTTAAAGTAACAAGCAAATGATGTGACGTGCTGAATGAAGAATAACAGCAGATATAGAATAATCACACAGTCTGAAACTGCAGAGAGAAACATCAGACTGAGGACAGAAACACACCAGCTCTGAGGTAAGAACACACACATCTTCATGTTACCATTCATAATCTTCATTATTATCACATTTGTTTCTCTTTTAGGTCTTCTGATTTCGTTCTTATGTATTTTTTTTTACGTTTATCAATGTGTTTCTTCCTCAGAAATGGCCCAGACTCTATATTTCCCTCTTCTCCTCATTGGTGAGTGTGTTTGTAGTTTTATTGATGGTTTATAGTTTCATTAGGTTTGACTCTGTTCTGAAAAGCATTAAAGCAAAGTGTCTCTTTCACAGCTTTCTGCTCCATATCTGAATGTGTTCAGCGTCAGTATCACTTTATAAATGAGAAGAAGACCTGGACTGAAGCTCAGAGTTACTGCAGAGAGAAATACACAGATCTGGCCACTGTTGACAACATGAACGACATGATCCAGCTGAACAAGAGTGTGAATGTGAATGATGGTGTCTGGATTGGTCTTCAGGGTACAAATGTTTATAATTGGCATTGGTCTTCAGGTGATCCTGCTCTCTTTCTGAACTGGGCATCTGGACAACCTGCCGGCAGTGATAATTGTGCTGTTATGAGTAACGGAAAGTGGTTTGTTTGGGCATGTAGTGCCACTTGGATTTTCATCTGCTACAACAGTGAGTACAAATATTTACATCAAGCTTTCATTTAACAAAAGACCGTTTTTAAATATTAATATAATATAATTATTATATTACATATTTTATATAATTGTAATGCAAAATTCAAATGTATTTTTCAAGTCAAATCTGCTGTAATTTTGTGGCAGATAATTCAGACAAACCTACTATTAACTAAATGTAATAATAGTCCCATAGCATAACATTTAAAGACATAAAATATTAACCACAGTAATATTGATAAACAGTTGTTCTTAATATTTTAATAAGAATAAACTGATAAAATAAATTTATTTCATAAAGTGAGCACAGGACTGGTGTTTGTCAATCAGACGATGAACTGGAGAGATGCTCAGAGATACTGCAGACAGAATCACATTGATCTGGTCAGTGTGAGGAACCAAAATGAGAATCAACAGCTGGAGAAGTTCATTAATGACAGAAACTCATCTGGATCTGCAGTCTGGATCGGTCTGTTCAGAGACTCATGGCAGTGGTCAGATCAGAGCAACTCCTCATTCAGATACTGGAAACCTGGTGAACCTAAACCTCCAGTTGATAAACGCTGTGCAGTGGGTTTACGTCACTCCTGCGCTTTGGGCATCTGGTTCTGGGTGAGTGGACAGACCGTGTGCTATCAGAACTGGGCTCCAGGGAACGGCACATCAGAGGAGGACTGTGAGCCCACAGTGAGATCTGGAGCAGTTCAGTCTGGAGGAGATCAGACCTGGATCAGCCGTCCTGAAACTGACCGACTCAACTTCATCTGCAGAAACTACTGAGAGTGAAGAAGTAAGATGAGGAATGTGTTCATTTATCACTGAAGTAATAATTTTACATGAAATCTTCAACATCAGCAGGCATTAATGCATTATTATAGTGATGAGCATATCTGAAGAGCAGCTGTGTGGGGATTTGAAATCTTTCTGAAACTGCACTGTTAAAGCTGGGTTATGTCAACTCAAATTGGGTAAAATATAGAGAAACTCAAATGTTGGTTCTATAAATTAATTTAATTGACATGTGATTTCATTGAACCAAGCTTTGATATTTCATACGTTATGCAGAATGATTTTACATTTTAGTGTTTTGTCACTTGTGAGTGAAGCTTCTGTGAACTCGTGTCTGTACAATTAATTTTTTTTTTTTTTTTTTTACAATCATCAGTTTTATAAATTTACACTTGAGTTTTCTTAATTTCTTGTGTTTTGTTGATCACTGTATGATGGTTATGGGCATGATGGGTAATTATTTTTGACCTATAGAGTGTCTTTATATTAAAATGACTGGTTGAATGTGAATCGTTGAGCATTATTTACCTCAGTGATATTAAATATTGTTTATTCTTTAAAAAATAAAGTTTGTTATTAAAATATTTACAATCATTTTGTGTTGAAATGTTTCTACAACACCAGCTGAAATAAACATGCAAAACCAATAATTTTACTTCTTTAGTGTTTTCTCATCAGTTAAATGATATAATGTAATATATTAAATACTGAGGATAATCTGTCTTTATGCAGATGCAATAAAAGCGAGTTGATTGAGATGCACAACTAAACATTTCTATATTTATTATTGAAAATATTCCAACAATAACAAACAGTAAATTTACATTTTAACACATTTTAGACGGCCTTTTATAACCCTCTCAGGCTCAAATGAATTTTTAGAAACAAGGAAAAATCTGATATTTGGGGAAAATTATCATATGGTGTAATCCTGACTTTTTAAAAAAAAATTTTTAGAGAGACCTTCACATGCACGGCGTTCTGGGATGTTGCAGATTTGCAACATTGGCTCAGTGTGGTAATTAGACACTGACAACTAAATATGATAAGAACAATAACTTTTTATATACAACTTTTTAAACAATGCAATAAATTGCTTTTCTGTGGCAAAACAACAACAAAAACAATATTTGATCCAAATCCAATATCTCAAATCATTGAGTAGGTCACTTTGTCATGTGGTTCTCCAAGAAACTTTTTTTTTGTGTGTCATCTAGTGAGCAAGTGGGGAGACCTCCAAGTCCTGCAGTGGTACTTCTGAGTAAAAAAAGTCATAAAATATGTATATGGAGTAATAAGGTAGTTCATGTTTAACTGTTGCAAATCTGCAACGCCTGCCTTGAGAGGGATAAAAAGCTAGTTTTGTATTTTACTCTTCTGAACATTTTTGCTTTTGTGTCAAATGAATGACACTGAATAAAATTAAAAGAACAATAGCAATATCTGACTCTAGTTAAACAATAACTCACTGTTCATCAGTTTTATGTCAGATACACTATGTATGTAAATATTGTTTAGCTGTGTACATAAGCAAATGAATAATGACAATGTGCACATATACAAATGTATTCATATTTTATAAACAAACAAACACAAATAACAGGAGTACACATCAGTAATATGAAATAAAAATAATAAATTACAAATAATAAACAATAACCAGACAAATCTTAGCAAATGAACAATAGTCCCTTTTTGCAGTGTATTAGTTGTAAATCAACATTATTAGTATTAACATTTTACCTGTATTGCTGTCAGAAAGAGCAGCTTTCTAAAATAACCCCGATGCTACAAGATATTCCATAAAGCTGAATTTGTATTGGCTTATTAATGTAAAAGTAAATGTGCTGTTTTTAATACCTGCTCATACAGGACAACCAGTGTCCTGCAGAGTTTACACATTTATTAAACACACCTTGAGCAGGTAATCCAGACAGCAGGTTATGGGACATACTCAGATTGTCACGATTACCAGCGATCGTACTTTATAAGATCGATGGATCTCATTCACAGTAACCATGGACTACAAATCCGCCATTTCTGGACTACATTTTCATACATGCACTCCGTTCACACTCACACATGCTTCCTCATTTAGACTGATTACACTCGCACCACCTGAGGATTGTCAACGATTGATTACACACACTATTTAAGCAGCACACTCACTCATTCACATTGCAGAGTCTTGTTATTTGCCACAGTGACATTACAACGTGTTTTCTTAGCCCTGTTTTCCTGTGTGTGTTTTCCTCGCCTTGTTTATTTAGTTATCCCTGTCTGCTGCCTGCCTTTTGACTTCTCGCTTGTTATATTGACTACGATTCTGGACTGCCATTGTACTTCTTTTTGCACCCGTATTGACCACTGCTTGCCTGAATATTCCAATAAACCTGCACGTGGATCCTACTTCAGTTGTCTGTATCACCCCCTGCGGTTACACAGGTAAGTTTAAGGACATGTTTTAGCAAAGACCCTCAAAAATGGAGGGAACTCAAATTTATACATGTGTGTTTTATATATTATTTATAAATATATAGTGTACTTAATGTATAGTGTGTTCACTATAAAACGCCATTATAATGTTTTTTTGTACTGGTATTTATTACTTCTCTTACCTGCTGGATCTCCATTATTATTATTTTTTTTTCGTAGCCGGATGCTTTGAATAAAACCTATAGATTATGTATATTTTTTATAATAGAAATATAAATCACCTTATAAAAATATAATTTTTGTTATAAAAAAATTAAGATCGAAGTTGGTGCAAATATCCTAGTGATTAGATTGCTGACACACGGCACTGAGGTGTCCTATGACTGAGTCCAGTGTTGTGGTCAGAGGAACTCTGCGTGTATGAATTTTCGGGTGCTTCTGGAAGAAGTTATTTTACTTCATTAAAATTTGTTGACCAATTTCATAGCTGACTTCATGCGTATTTTAATCTGACTCCAATTTCACTTTTTTAAATTCAACATTTATGTTTTTAGCTGATCATGTTATTAGTTGTCATAGATTTATTCACTAGATATCGCATAGGGACCCTGAGCATGTGTCAATAGCGCCGCCACATTGGTACAGTGCTCCCAAGACAAATGTCATTCAACCGCACTAGTCAAGACAGTGTTACTACGTGAAGATGCGGGACTTTAGCGCTGTCTGAGGGTGTAGTAACGAGCAAACAAAGAAAACAAAGCACAAAGGCAGAACATTTCATAGGTAATATTAGTTTTTTTTAAATGTTTTTGTATGTTCTGAAACTTTGTGCTAAACAGTAGCGTATTATATTGAACAGTAGTGTATTATATTGATGATAATACAGACTCTTACTGCATTCACTATAAGTCAAAGTAGCTCCAACTCGCACTAAACACTCGGCTTATGCTAGTTTTGTTGAGCAAAATCAGCAAACAATGCAAAAGAAATATGACAACGAGATGCTGCAGTGCCAGAAACTTGTGTTATTGTCAGCTAGTGGACGAGTCGTTCATAACGGAGATTCATTCACAAACGAGTCGCTCCCTCCGTCAGTATGAGAAGTGAAAGCAGGAGAGGAGCTGTGTTTCAGGACATGATTAGATCAAATGTAACAGGGAGGGTGGATAGTACATTTCCATACACACAAACACAAGTTTTTTGTCAGTAATTCCAGTGCGGTCACTGATCCATCAATGTAGAAAAGTGATGTAAAATTAAAATTTTCGTAATTAAAAAAAAATAAATTGCATACTAACATCCAGGAAAACTCCCGATCACAGATATATGTGTATATGTGTATATCCCTGGCTTTGGATGGCCACAGTCCTCCACTGTACCTTGGTCCCGCATTTATTTTAATGGAGCTAAAATACATCTAATGTATATATCTATGATTGGTTGTGATGTAATTTAGGATTTGATATTTTCTGGGGTCCGATATTCTAAATTGTACGTTCATTAGGGAGCAAACGCTGCTCAGAGTTTCACACCCCGGCTTTGCATGTCTTCTCCCGGACAGTATGTGGACATTCTGAAATTAGTCAGAGGGTGCAGGATTAACTAATATTCAAATAGGCTGGTTGCATAACGCTCATCTATTCCTTAAAGTAATAGATCCCTTAGCCAAGCCCAATGCATCTTGGTACGTTCAGTGATTAATTGTTTAAAAGATCTACATGTTATCACATCCAGAAGGGCTTTGTATTATCATATGCGCCTATCAATCAAATAACATATGCCAGACCCTAAAGGTGGCGCAGACTCCACGTAATCTACTAGATCAGTGGTTCTCAAACTGTGGTACGCGTACCACTAGTGATGCGCGGGCTTCCTCCTAGTGGTACGCGGAGGAATCGCTGAATAATGAAAGAAGCAATTAACACTTTTAATCCTTTAATGCGTAATATAACATTGATGTGATCGGCATTGGCTGTTTTGTGAAGCGTACGATCACAGCGATGTGCTTGGAGTGTTTATTTTAGTGCATTGTGTCATAAGCTGCTGAAAATCAGTTTCCGAATTGATTCTGAAGCGTGATTTGACTGACATGAAAAGTGGCCAATCACAGTCGACCTTGTCTAGTTGCGTGAAACGTAAGGGCGGTACAAAGGCTTTCTGTGTTGCAGAGACAGAAAAAACAACTTAAAAACAAATGTTTTGTTGGAATAATGCTTCTCGGATGTTTTCACTACAGAGATGTCTAGCAGAGTAATTAAACCGCGGACATATTTCCTGCCTATTTGATGATCTTCATACACGTTTCGCTCTCCGACAGCCAGTCGACTCGCCTCTGACCTGTCACTCCTCCAAATACATTCTGAATGGCGGCGCGGGAATGGAGGTATTGCGCAATTACTCATTTCTGGAAATGTGGCGAGTGCTTTATTTTCACACGAGAGCGCATTCATGTGTGCAAATCGCTAAAACAGACATGCGAGCTCTTAAATAGGCTTTTTTCAAATGAACTGCAGTGCTCTCATGATCGCCTGTGTGCTCAGATAGAATACAATCGCGATCTTTCCACTATTAAAGTAGACATTATTTATCTTTGCTCCTCAACTAAATTCAGTCAAAAGTATTCAAAGTTATCAAATATTTAGAAATAGATTGATACATGATCGATGACAATGCTAATGGTCTTCTTATTTGGCTGTGTTGTGAAGTGAAACTTACTTTTAGCAAAGGTGGAACTTATTTCTTTACGAAAAAAGAATTATGCTGTAAATGTTTCTGGATGAGGTATTTGTGTGATTTATACATTTAGCTGTATTCTGATCTGTCCTAAAGC